AACTATGGCATATTTTGTTGTAATTAATATTCGCGTCTCGCTTATACGAGACCAACCACGAAAAAGAGACTGACAATACCAGCTCATATTCTAAACTCTAAAATAGTCCCACAGTAGACCTAGCGTACAAATGAGCACATTAGAAGTCGGTAAGAAAAGACCAGAAGTCTTATTTAGAATTTTACAAACCTATAATACTGCAGCTGTTTGACGTAGTGTCTCTAAACCATTGGTTGGAATGTGATCCTTGTAATCTTGTTCTGTGGAAGTAAATATTAGCACAAAAGAATTGACTAATGCAAGATTATCCACTTGCATATGCAACAGAATGAGAAAAGTCTAAACCCGTCGATTTAATGAAGTGTGTGATTCGAAATGCCCAGATGGTTAGCGAATACAATAGACCAACCGGGGAAGCCAGAGGGTACAATCAAGATAAGGTTACCAGTTTGATGAAATCGATGATCGTGACGAGTTCCTATATCAAATGCCTTCGATAAGATTCGCCTCTCAGTCGTAGTTGGTTCATATCGATCTCACTGTATGTACATATCTCAATCTTTGTGTGTGTTTTTTTCTTGGTCTATTTATCGCAGAAAATTAATATGTATCGATTTACCTCACTGTTTTGTGAGGAAGAGTAACAGACCAAGAAGCGTGCTATGAACCGGAGATTGTAAAATAAAGCAAGTACAATAGCTTCAAAATCTGCCTGGGAAATGTTTTAACAGATGACGGAATATATGACACCGAAATCCGAAGAAGCATTGGAATAGAAACAAAATACGTTTCAAATGTTAAAGAAAGGATTGAAAAACGGGAAACCCTGTTAAAAACATAGATAAGTGTGCTGAACTGCTATAACCTATCAAAACACCTATATAGCTGTGAATGCTAGTTAATTTCCTACAAATGAGAATAATTTAGGTTGTGAAGATGATGTTCTACAGAAGGATGGTGAGAATACAATGAATGGAGAAGATAAGAAACAATGAAGTTTTTAATAAAATCGAGACAAAACTGTCACTTCTACATGGAATCAGAATGAGACTGTTGAAACTTTTAACACACATAATGAGGAAAAAGGGCTTAGAAAATTGGACACTCTCAGTACCCATTAAAGGCTGGACATACATTAGGAAACAGCGAACAAGTAAGATAATAAAAAGACATATTTTTTCTAAGGATAACTCCCCGGTCTTTTGAGAAAGATTAGAGGATTATCCCTTGTTTCCTGTTTAGGAATGGCTTTCCGGTTCCTGTTTCAACTCTATACTTCTAACGTCTCCGTCTGAACTTTATTTTATTTATATTTTCTCTCTTCTTAATTCGAGTATATCAGTTCGCTTGTCATCCAGTTCACACTCCTCCTTGGCCTTTTGAACCTAAAAAAATAGGGTTATCCATTGTTTTCTCTCTTTAGGATCGGGTTTCCTCTTCCTTCTAAAGTCTAATTCAACTCTATACTTCTAACGTCTCCGCCTGAAATCTGAGATTTTATACACTAATTACTTTTCAACAGGAGTATCTATGATCACCTATCATCTGTTTTAAACTCCTTCCCACTTTTTTGAACAAGAGTAGAGGTTTATCCTTTGTCCCCTGTTTAAGATTGGGTTTCCGATTCCTTCTAAATTCTTTTCAGTCTCTTTCACTTCCAGCAGACCATTGTGTCTTAGCGGCCTGGTCTTTTTTGAATGAGTTTTATAAGAAAGGAAGCTGTGGATAACCATTATCGCCCACGTCCTGAGTTTGTAATTGAGGTTTAGCTTTATTTCCAGTTTGATTGAAAAATAACTCCGCATTTTAAAATATTTATAATTTATTAATTAACTATAATGTTTACAAGAAATAGATATGAGAGGAAAGCGTTTAGCATGAGGTTTTACTTCAAAATCGATATGGGCTCAACTTTTGCTATCAGCTTCTCGAACCTTCCAACTGATTTTATCAGGAACCCTTGTGATATGGAAACGTAACTTGTATTCGCTCTTCACGTTCTTCCAAAATCTTGGTTCGGTATAGTAGTCTTTCTGCTTTAACTAACCACACAGAAAAGTCACAGGGTATAAAGTCAGGATTTGGCATTTTCTATTGGGAGCATAAAACCAATGCGTTTGTGCGGAAAAGGGTTGGAAGTTTTATGGGTCACCAGCAACCTCTTCTCGCTCTTGTCAAACAATGGCGTGGATTGGACACATTACAAAGCACGGCAGCCTGTGCAAGACCATCATGCAAGGCACCGTCGAAGGTGGACGCAGGAAAGGACGTCAACACTAAAACTAGTTGGACAATGTCAAAAAATGGACAAGTATGACTATATCAGAATTGCAGATGGCTGCCGTTGATAGACCGTAGTTGAGGAGATATAGTGTGGCTTCTGGGATCCCCATCTACGATTGCAAAAGTTAAGGGGATGATGATGATGATGATGATGATGTTGTTGATGGTGATGATGTTGATGTTGATGATGGTGATGATGATGTTGATGGTGATGATGATGATGATGTTGATGATGATGATGATGATGGTGATGATGGTGATGATGATGTTGATAGTGATGATGATGATGTTGATGATGATGTTGATGATGATGATGGTGATTGCGAACAGACGAATTTATGATTGACCTTTTTGTCGTAAGAAGAACATGGTGAGCAAACACACCGGAGTTATTGAAATGTTATCTTTTACTTCCATTTTAAGGTTAGTTGGTTGGTTGGTTGGTTATATTTGTTTAGTGGCATATCAAAACCTGTATGGGTTACTTAAGTCCGAAATCTTAATATCCGGCACGCAAAACTATGCTTTCTACTACAGATAGTTTGTATATAATTTTATACTCTGAGAATAAAGTTATGTACTTTTAGATATCTAGATAATAAAATGTATTTTGGTAATTTTACTATAAAAACGTACAGGCTGATTGAAATAAACTCCTCATTTTAAAATACTTATAATTTATTTATTAACTATAATTTTTACAAGAAATGGGTAGCAGATGAAAGCGTTTAGCATGAAGTTTTATTTAAAATTTAATATGGGCGCCAAATTTCGCTACCAGATTCTCGAGTTGCCCAGGAATTGCGTTAATTAATTTCACCAGAAACTCTTGTGGTATGGAAGACATAACTTCTTATATTTGTAGTTCAAGTTCTTCCAAACTCATTTTTTTGGTATAGTAGTCTTGTTTCTTTAAACCTCAC